TCTTGCTCCAACAGCTATACAAGAAGCCCAGGCAGTCAATTTTACATTAATAAGTCTTATGATGCAGTTTAAATCTAAAAAATCCCCAACAAACAAAAGCCGAGTTGAGCATGTGGCTATTTGAAGGCTTTCACTCCCTGGTGGATTCTGTGATAACTGTCCTGGTTTGAGCTAAACAGAACTCATTTTCTATTGAGTGATTTTACTTTTCAGCTCAGCCTCTTCTAAGTGGTTGAACTTGCTGAAACCAGCAGCGTGTTTTTCCAGTATGTGCTGCTACAACTGATAATCACAAGGCCACTGTCTCACCATGGGTGCCGTGTCTGCATCTATGGGGAGGAGCAGACCCAAACCTGACCAACGAGGGATTGCATCCCACACACGGCACACTCAGTGGAAAGCCCAGGGATCACAAGGGTCTCGACCCTTCCATCTTGGACTCTTCCTTCCCTCTTGATCCATGCAATGGCCCAAGGCCCAGCAGACCCTGCTGCTTCGGCTGCCTCTGATCCTGAGCCCTGTGCTCCTGCATCAGCTCCCACTGCTGCTGGGTGCACACTGGGACTTTTCCAGTGCTCCCAGAGCCTCTGGTGCCGTCATCATCATTGGAGGAGGATTTTATATTGGTTTTGTAGATATATTTGTACATATCTGTATATATTCCATTACTTCCTTTTTACATTTTTATCCTGTACTATCAGTAGTATTGTTTCATTAAATCTGTTGTTTTCTTTTCCAACCTGTAAAATCTCTCTCCCTTATTCTCTTTTCTCTTCCATTCTGGAGAGGGGAGAGGGGTTAACAGAGAGCATCTGACCAGGATTTAGTGCCCACCCCAGCCCTAAACCACAACAATAACCCATCTCCCTGGTAGGAACGTTGGGTTGAACCTGTGCTCCTTTTGGTCCATGTGCACTGGGAACCGTTTTGTCGTTTCTTTTAAAGGAGCACAGCAGAAGCTGCCCGGGATCATCCAGGAGCAGTGACAACTCATTCAGAGGAGAGGAAGGCACCAACAGGAAGCTCCCTCCTCATCCACAGGATGTGTGAACGTCGCTCTGGGTGCATCGCTGTGTCTGGAGCCAGCTCAGCAGGTCCAGGTGTGGCTTGGTCTGTTGTGCCAAGGCTGAGCTGGTGCCAGTGGTGATCACAACAGCAGCCTACACACCATGTTCTGGATCATGCGGCACGTGGGGCAGGACAGCCGCTCTTATGCTGGGTCTGTAAGGAGGCCTCCTCTAGCAGGACACGACTGTGGTTCTGTATGAATTCCCACCAGGTTTGCTTCATGCAGCAAGCTGATGTATGTATTTAGGGCAATGATTTTGGATAGAATGGAATCATAAAATGTATTGGGTTGGAAGGGACCTTTAAAGCTGACCCAGCCCAGCCCTGCAGTGAGCAGGGACATCTTGAACCACCTCAGGGTGCTCAGAACCCAGCGAGCCTGGCCTTCAATATCTCCAGGGATGGGGCCTGCAGCACCTCTGGGCAACCTGTGTCAGTGCTCGACCACCTCATGGGGAGCAGCTTTTTCCTCAGATCCAGCCTAAATCTGCCCTTTTCCAGTTTAAAACCATCCCCCCTCGTCCTATTGCTCCATGCCCTGGTGAACAGCTCTGCCCCTGAATTCTTATAGGCATCTTTCAGGTCCTGGAAGGTTGCTCTAAGGTCCCTTATAAAAATACATATTTATATATATAAATAGATAAATAGACATCTATTTAACTGTTGTTCAGCATGGAGCTGGCTTGTTTGGTCTGTGGGTGTTTCTTCCCCTGGGTCATAAGATTTCCTTGCAAGATCCGTGTGGATGGTCTAAAGTACTGCCTGACATGGCATGCGTTGGGATGAGCCACTCTCATGATGGGAAGAGATGAAGACAAATCACTCCCAAAGTAGCCTTTCACAGACTCAACGGACAGTGAACAACAGCAACCATTTAAAAACTCTTGTGCACGTTGCTGAGGAATTGCTAACTAAGTAAAACGGACATTGTAGCCCAGATGTCACAAGGAAAATCATGGGTCATGTCCACCAAGTCTTAGATCGATGGATGGACTCAATCTTAATGGTCTCTTCCAATCAAAACCATTCTGTGATTCTATTCTAAACCTCACCTCCTCCCGACATAAGCCGTATATTGTCCTCCTAATACCTGAGACTCATAAGGGTCTGAAATTTGTCTCAGCATCATTCAGACACAGTGTGATCCACATAGAATTTTACAGGGAGTGCATACAGTTCTGAAAGCGTCTTTCAGCTTGACATGGGAGTGAAGGAGGACAATTTACATTGGTTTCTCTTGAGATGCACCAGCATCTAGAAACTACTGAGCCCTATTAAACAGAATCAGAAAGATTTTTTGTGTAATATCCTAATGCTTTGACCTTTCCCAGATGTGTTGAAATGGGTCTGTTTCCAGATTATCCCCCTGCTCACTTTTAAAAATCATGGTCATTACACATTTTTTTCAGTTCACCTTAATTATTCTTTGCAGCAGGACACAGAATTCTCAATCTAAGTCAGGTTTTTATATAGGTATATAAAAAAGGGGAATTCAGTGGGAAATTTGGATGAAATTCTTGGTAAAATGTGGGTAACTAGTAAAGTTTTATTACAAATTAGCAAAAATGGACTGTCTGGGCTATTAGTTGGCCAGTCCTGGTGTAAGGTTGAAAGGAACCAAGTTTGGTAGGGGAAAGTAGTACTTTGTACTTATCTGGAAAACACTGCATCTGCTTGTGGGAAAAGCCCTTCATCCGGTCCCTGAGTGCCCAAAATCTTATCCACCTTGCGATATTTCAGCTGGTCGGGTAACCTCTCCCTACAAACCTTTCATTTAGGAGCTTTACAAGGTGCTTTCCTAACGGAGGCAGAGCAAGGATTGCAAAGCCCTGACCACAAAACCTCTGTATAACTGAAGGGTTCACACTGCGACTTTATCCGGCACCTTGGGAAGGAAAAGCATCCCCTTGGGTGAAGCCCAGCTCCTCTAAAATTATGCAGGGGACAAAGAGGAGGCGCTTGCCATGTGGAAATTGTTCCTCCAGTGCTTTTGGAGACTGTATGAGGTCTTGGTTGTCTTTTTGGGATGCTAGTCAAGGCTGGAGGCTCTCATTGCCACTGGCAGGATTTGGCTCCCCAGTGCCATTTAATGAGTCCATGGCCATTGAGTCTTGTACCAGAGTGCGCTCGGACTGGGAAGGTGGAGTCTTGCATGGAGATGAGGAGAGAAAAAAGGGAAAGGATGGGATGAGGTGAGGAAAAAGGGATGGATCTGGAAGATACTCAGTGTGAGAATCTGGGTAGAAAGGCTTAGAGCCTAGTTCTGTATCTGTATTTGAGATTTCAGCTATCCAGTAGCAGGGCCATTTAAAAAACCCCAAACAAACCACCCCATAAACAGGCAGTTTTAGTTCATAGTGTAACTATTCCCACATGGAGCAGAAGCAACCACAGCAGGAGGACCAAGAGTCCTTGTCCATGGGTCTATAGATGTTGGATTGTCTGTTCCCAAAGGTGACCTCGTCTTAACCTTTAACAGTTAAACTTTAACCAATTAAAGCAATATTTTATCTCAGAGCTTTCTATTTTCCATTTAAAACTCTGTGTCCATTTATTTAAAGTTAAAATTGACACAGAGAGGTTTATTTTTTCTGTTTTTAGACACTATTTCAGCTTTGTGAACTAAAGAAAGGTGTTTCTCTTTAAATGCCATTAGCAAGACAACCAGATCACAACACGTCCCCTCTCCCTGACTTACTCATGGGTGGATATACTGGAAATGAGAGAAAAGAGAGAATGGAAAGTTAAGGGAAGTTTTGCTTTCTGTAGCAGGTACTCATGATGATGGGGTGAAGCAAGGTGACCCACCTCCAAGTCAACATGAGGTCAATGTCAAGGCCTTCTGTCTCATGAAATGAAACCCCAAAAGAAGTGGGGGAATTTGAGAGAGAGCAAACCATGGCAAAGTGCAAGGATAACTGTGCGAACTGTAATTAAGGATGGAGGGCAGGCTAACGAGATAAAGAGATCTCATCTGAGAAAAACTCATGAGTCAAGCAGAATTTGGGGAATTTCACAATTCCTCCATTGGTGTGTGTGGTGTTTACTTTGACCTCTCTTCAGACAGCTATTAATTGCCACCTGATGAACCAAACCCAATAACAACATTATCAGACCTGCTAATTACCACGGAATGGAGACTGACACCTCCAGAACGTATAAAGGAGAACTTCCATCACCCTCACCAGAGAAGCTTAAGTTGTTTCTCCTCCTGTTTTACAACCTTCCCCCCCTGCTCTCTCGTCTTCTCTGAAAGCGAAGCTATGAGCCACCGTTTCTCCAGATTTGGGGATGGGAATTTCAGTTGCTCTTCTGCTCACTGTGGCACACTGGGTGGTGGGAGAAGCTCATTTGCCATAAGCCATTTTGAAGATGATAGAGGAGAAGGAAGATACAGGGGTTATGGGTATCCTTATGGCAGCAGGAGCCTCTGCAACCTTGGTGGGTATAGGAACTTGTCTACTGGTGGAGGCTACAGAGGAGAAGGAGTAGGATATGGGAGATGCCTGGGATTTGGTGATGGGAGACATTTCAACAGCGGCTTTGGCAGAAGAGGGTATTTTGTGGGAGCTTATCAAGGTGGTGAAGCAGGGCTTGGAAGCACACATGGTAGGGAGCTGCTTGGAGGAGGCCTTGGTAGAAGGGCCTTTGGCGAGCAAGGGGCTGGGCAGGGTTTTGGGCAGGCTGGCGTTAGCAGAGTCATCGAGGAGGTCCACGTCAATACCAGCCTGCTGAGGCCAATAGAGCTGGAAGTTGACCCCGAGTTCCAGAGAGTGCGGTCAGATGAGAAAGAGCAGATCAAGGCTCTCAACAACAAATTTGCATCGTTCATTGATAAGGTGAGTCCCTGTTCTCTTCTTCGCTTGTTAGCTGGGAAGGTGGAATTACGAGGGGTGCTGCTCTGCCTGTTTCAGTCATGGGGGCACCTGTATATTGCATCTTCTCTCCCCAAAATCAGCGTTAACTCGATTCCCTTGCTCTCATGTGAAGTTCTTTATAGCTTGCTATAAACATCACTTACATTTTGCCCTAGGATAAGTCTCTCCTACCCATATTTTGTGGCAGGACAAAAACTACTGGAATGTCACCAACACATTAACTCACTTCTTTTTTAGAGGAAAAGGGTTTCCGCATGGTCAGTAATATCCTGAAACCTGGGAACTGTAGGTGCTAGGAGGAAAAATGGGGGATGGACTTGGACATCCTTGATGTGTTCTGTTATTTTTTTCCCCTCAAGCAAAGCAAAATATTGCATATCTTCGAATTACAAAGCAAATAACTACTTTGCTAGGAGGTCCTAGCCTCTTTCAGGTGGACAGTGACCCCCACATCTTTCTTCTTTACCTCTTTCTTGGTTTACACTACAACACTTTCAATTCTGCAGTCTCCTCTTTCGTTCCTACTCACAGACACAGGAACAAACCAGCCCCAAAACACTTCCACCCACGCAGACCTGACGTGTGCCTTTGTTTGGGTGGTGGCATGTGCCTCTGCACAGGGTGGAAGCCTCTGCTATTCGTTACACTTGAAGACTTCGGGGCTTCTTGCATTACCTTACAAAAAAGGTGCTGGTTACACCCAGAAGTTATAAGCAAACGTCATCCTGATGAATAGGAGTGCCTTAGACTTTGTAATTTGGGATACTTTCTGGATATCAACTTCCAGGTTATAAACTGCTCAGCATCCCTGAAGAAGAGATACTACCCCTTTGGTTTCCAAAAATACCAATTCTGTATGTTATAGGTCTTTCTGACCTTCTCCTCTAAGGCAAGGTATATCTAGGAAGGGAGGGGTCCTATGTGGTCTTCTGAGAGGGGAGTAACTCTTATGTTTTTGGGTGCCTACGGTACTGCAGAAACAGCTGAACCCTCCCTCCACCCCAATAAATCCCACAAATATTAACAGCCAGCCAAGATTTCAGTATCGGCTTTGAGGAGCAGCAGTGAAATCACACCCTCCTTATGCAACAGATTGGGGAAAAAAGAGATGCCCTCCCCTTTAATCTAAGTCGTCTCGTGTGTTGGTACCTGCAGTTGGTCCCACCTGATGAAACCCTTAAATGTTACTGTGTCAGAAATTAGGAAATTAGGATTTATTTGCTATACGGACTGCTGCTGGTGTTTCCCCCAGTGCTTTCCAGTGACTGAGCTGCTCTTCTGCTTTGCCTTTCAGGTTCAATGCCTTGAGCGGCAGAACCAGGCTCTGATGGCCAAATGGGAACTCCTGCAGCAGCAAAGTGCCCGACCAGAAGAGAGCAGAAATATCACCTCTTTCTTCCAGTCCTACATCAACAACCTGCAGAGGCAGCTGGAAATGCTCCAGAGCCAGAAGGAGCAGCTGGATCCAGAGGCATATAACATGCTTCAGCTTGTTGAAGATTATAAAAAGAGGTGAATAATCACAAGTCTGGGGAAAAATGCACACTGGGATTTTCCAAGGCTGATCATGCTCTGGGATGGCACAGCTTCTAGAATCCTGTAGCCATTACAGCACTGCTCTGCAGTGGGTTCACTATGGGACTCAACTGATGCTGGGTGACTAAAGCAGGTTTGGTGAGGATAGATCCCAGAACAGTAAGAGGAAAATCAAAGGCCCTGCAGATCTGTCCCACTCTTCTCCTATCCTCCTTCATGCCCTTCCTCTCCCAAGTAATGAGTAACCCAGGGCTCCTTACTCCTGCTAGTAGGGCTGGAGTTGTGGTCAACATGGACAGGGCTGAGCAGTGGAGTTGAGACGAGTCATCACTTCTGGCTTAGCTGCACCCAAAATATATGTCCGCAGCTCTGAAAGATGGGAAGTTTAGTTCAGAATTATAGGGATGTTAGAACTGATCCATATCACATTTAGTTGGCTAATTTAGCATATCGTTTTGCCTTTACGTTTTGCCAGAAACTGCAGTTAAATGAAAACATGGCACATTCCATTGTGCCATTGATCTCGGAGGTCTTTTCCAACCGAGCGATTCTGTGATTCCCTTTTTGGATGATTCCTTTCAGTTTCTGATCCACTTGGCTGAAAAAGTTAAGATAGGCAATGAGTTACCTCTTTCTTTTCTCTGCTGCAACAGATTTGAGGAAGAGATCAACAAGCGCACGTCGAAAGAGGAGGATTTTGTGGAGCTGAAAAAGGTGAAGTCATCCAAGACACTGAAAGTAACCAAAGCCTCTGAAATAAGGCCATAACCAATGGTTGCTGAGGTTTCCATAAGCAAGATCTTTGCTAAACTTTGTCTAACTGAAGTCATTGAAAAATTGAGCTTTTTACTACAAGATTGGAGAGAAATAATTTCCTCTAGAGACTGAATTGGTCTCTTGTGAGATGAATATCTAAAAAGTGCTGTTTTTTCTCTATTCACTCAGTCACAACCTAGATGTCATTAGTGGGCGTGAAATAACATCTGTAGATGGCTTGGATAGATTAATGGAAAATTTAGACAGCTTTTTTTAGAAGAATTAATGAAATTTATGTTTCTATGTTTTGCATTTTCTCCAGGAGCGTATTTCTATGCCACAGCTATTCTTTTCCTCTAAGAGTTAAAATCTTTCTCTTTGTTCCAATTGCTTTGCAAATGAAATCTGAGATTATTTGACTCCAAGAATGAGTGCTTTAAAGAAATGTACCAAGTCTTGCAAGAATTGCTCTTCAGTGGTGAATTTGGATCAAAGAAAAACAAATATGCTTATGGCTTTTTCTATAGGAACTTGACAGCGTCTACATGGGAAAAATGGAGTTTGATGTTCGGGTGGAAATACTGAAGCAGGAGCTTGAGTTCCTCAGATGTTTACATGATGCTGTAAGTATGCTTCTCAGATTAAAAACTTACCCTTAGGTCTTGAAGGATGCGTATCTTCTGGAGGTTCCCAGAAATGTTGGGGTGGAGAATGGATCATCCTTGGCCTTTGGTCTTATCAAGTCATAAATTTGTGAGTGAAAAGGAGAGGGTCTGGTATCTCACAAAGGCTGAAAGAAACAATTAAAAATTAAAACTGGTGGTGGAAGAATATGAGCTGGGGATGCAGGTAGGGATGTTCCAGTGGGTAACAGGTCATAGGGTCCCATTTCTTTCCTCATGACATGACCATGGTCTGTTAAAGTCCAACATCTTGTTTTCCTTGCAGGAGCTGTCCCAGCTGCAAACAGTAGCTGGCAACACCAATGTCGTTCTGTCCATGGACAACCACAGGGATCTGAACATGGATGGCATCATTGAAGGAGTCAGGCAAGAGTATGAGGCAATTGCTCAGAGAAGCAAAGCTGAAGTAGACGACATGTATCGGGGCAGGGTGAGTAGACATCAACAAGATAGGGAGGAGAGTCTGTCTGCTGAATGGAAATGAAGCCAAAAGTCTGTCCTCTTCTCTGCACCGCAGTTCCAGGACCTTCAGGAAATGTGGGTAAATCAACGTGAGCAACTGAGGACCAGTTACCAGGAAATCCAGGAACTCATCAGGCAGATTCAAAGACTGCAACCAGAAATTGAAATTGCAAGGAAAAAGGTAAAGCTGATGCTTTCCAACATGACTAAACTATTTAAGTAACTTTTACGTGGGGACTCAATGCAGTACAACATAGGCAAACCTAGAGATGAGGTTTCTTTTTGAAATGAAGCAGGTTTAGATTTTGGCTTTCTACACTGGGATTTAACTTGGGTTAATTTACCCAGTCCAGAGTCCCAGTCCCATAGAAAGGAAATGGACCCGTTCTGTTTGCACCCCCTGCAGAATGCCAGCCTCCAGGACACCATTAAAGACGCTGAGCAGCGTGGGAGCTCTGCCATCAGGGATGGCCAGGAAAAGTTTCAGAAGCTGGAAAATGCCCTGCAGCAGGCCAAGGATGACCTCACTCGCCTTCTTCGTGATTATCAGAAACTCCTGAATGCAAAATTGACCCTGGATGTTGAAATAGCCATGTATAGATCGCTCCTTGAGGAGGAGGAGAACAGGTAGGCACAGACTCTTCATCCTGGATAGAAGCACCTCTACAAAGTGGAGTATCCCATTCTTTGATCTGTCACTTAGATCTCCAGGATGAATTGCTGCCTGGAAGCAGTGACCTCTATAATTTGCTTACTGATAGTACCTAGCTGGAATTTTACTTTATTGGATGCCTTATCTCAGTGTCACTTTTCCTTCACAGGATACAAGAAGGCTCACCAGCCACAATCTGTAAGTAATCTGAGACTTTAATTTGCTTTTCTTAAGAGCACTGTCACCATTTTGTTTTCTGTGGTACATAACACCCACCATCAAAACAACTTATCTTAGTTCCTATCTTAGTTTCCTAGAGAAATGAAGCAAACGGTAGCCTCGTCTGAGTATGTGTGTGAAGACACATGTAAATGCATTAATATGTCCACACTGAGCTGCTGTTTTGGAACCGGTTGGCTAATTTCAACCAAATCTGTAGGAAGTGAGAAATGCCTCACTTATTCTGCAGGCCACTGTAGTGCATGTGAGAACTGAAGGAGGTACCTCTACTAAAGAAGATCCTTGTTGCCCATTTCAAAGATATGACTATGGTCACTAGTGTAGGTACAATGATGGCCATACATAAGTGCTACTTTCAGCTGTGCATGTAATTTTTGGGGTAAAAAAAAAAAAGATGAACATAATTTCCATTTCTTGCAGGTGTCATTGACCACAATGCGAGCATGACTGGAGTCTTTGGAGTAGGATCTGGAGGCTTGAAAAGTGGGAAGGGAGGGATGAGTTCTGATGGTACAAGCAAGAACAGAAGGAAAGGGTCAATCTCTGAAGGAGGAAAATGTGGAAGCTCTGGTGGACGAGGATCCAGCTCTGGTGGTGGCAAGTCCATCACTGGAGGTGGAGGATGTTCAGGGTCTGGAGGTGGGGGAAGCTCGGCGCCTGGTGGATCCAGCTGTAACAGTGGTGGGTCCATCTGTGGAGGAGGCTCAGGGTATGGTGGAGGAGGAAGCTCAGGCAGTGGAGGCTCCATCTCTGGTGGTGGCAGCAGCTCTGGAAGGAAAGGGTCTATCTCTGGCAGTGGAGGAAGTTCAGGGCATGGCGGATCTAGTTATGGCAGTGGTGGGTCCATCTGTGGAGGAGGCTCCATGTCTGGTGGTGGACAAAGCTCTGGAAAGAAAGGGTCTATCTCCAGTGGTGGAGGAAGCTCAGGGCATGGAGGATCTAGCTATGGAAGTGGTGGGTCCATGTCTGGTGATGGTCAAAGCTCTGGCAAGAGTGGGTCTATCTCTGGTACTGGAGGAAGCTCAGGTCATGGAAGATCCAGCTATGGCAGCCGTGGGTCCACCTGTGGTGAAGGCTCAGGCAGTGGAGGTTCCATGTCTGGAGGTGGCCAAAGCTCTGGCAAGCGAGGGTCCATCTCTGGAGGAGGAGGAAGCTCAGGTCATGGAGGAGCCAGCTTCGGTGGTGGTGGGTCCGTCTGTGGAGGAGGCTCAGGCTCTGGAGGAGGAGGGTCAGGCAGAGGAGGCTCCATGTCTGGTCGTGGGCACAGCTCAAGTGGACAGGGATCCAGCCATGGCAGTGGCAGATGTAGTCCTTATAGTGGAGGCTCTATGACCAGTGGCAGCAGTTCTGGCATGAGAGATTCCATGACTGGAAGTGGAGGCAGTTCAGGTCATGGAGGATCCAGCTATGGCAGTGGTGGGTCCATCTGTGGAGGAGGCTCAGGCTATGGAGGAGGACGCTCAAGCAGTGGTGGTTCCATGGCTGGTGGTGGCAGCAGTTCTGGCAGGAGAGGGTCCAGTTCTGGAGGTGGAGGCAGCTCGAGTCGTGGAGGATCCAGCTTTGGTGGTGGTGGGTCCATGTGTGGAGGAGGCT